CCTGGATGAGGGAGACCATCTCGTGAGGACGGTCCTAGCTGGTCAGATTTACTGAAGTGAACGTTTTCAGAGAATTTTCATAAAGTTGATAACATTAAAAATAGCATTGAATAAAAATGAAAGGGTTAATATATTATGGGCCTTTTAGCGGTGGATATTATATGAAGAAATCAACTCATAACCTGAAAAGTGACTTTTCATTCCCCTTTTGTCCAACTGACAGTGTGTATTTTGGCAATCAAGTTAATAAAGGTGGCACAGATGTCACTCACAAGTTCTCCGAGATGTGAATTTTTGGGAAATGCAGTGCAGGAAAAGGGAAGGACTTTTGAGACGTGAATTTTTGGGCAATGCAGTGCAGGAAAAGGGAAGGACTTTGGTTCTGAAATAAGACCTCTGGGGCACCACTTTCTGTGTACCTGTCCTTTAGCAAGAAAATTTTGAATCACCAATTATTGAATCGCCAATATTAAATATAATTGGCAACTTGTTCTAAACCTGAAATACATATTTAATTATTAAATAGCTATAACTATTTGATAAAAGAGAGAACAAGAAATACAGAACACTAAAATAAATACACATATGTAGATTTGAAATATTTACTTTCAATTGAAAAGTACCTGATATTTGTTACGTTTATATGCAACTCATAATGCTGCAACTTAATAAAATACAAACAACTTAGGTAAATTGGCCCGAATATATTATTTGATTATGTAATGAATGCACATAAATGAATTGGACAGGTTCATTTACTTTTTAAAAATGTGAAAAAAATGCATCATGAAAAAAATTTAGACCATGAAAGTCACTCTTAAAAATAATTTTAAAAAAACATAAAATAACATTCAACGTAATGATCCAGAATATAGGTACTAACCATATATAATCAAATGCACTATTTAATGCTTAGTCAACTATTACATTGAGAAGTTATGAAGGTTCAAGATTTATTTTATCCTCACAAGAATGAAACTTAAAAAATCTAGCCAAGGAAAAGAAACAAAGGAAAATAACCAGTGTGGTACCATGTAGAAAATTTCCAAGTTCATCATTTGATTTTCAATTTCTTGAGTACAATAAGTCAGAAGTATTCCCATAAAGAAACACAAGTTTCTAAGATGAAAATGAGATTTGTTAATGCATTGACTATAGACTAAAATTATATTATTATAATATTTAATAGAAACAATAACCGTATCTTTTGTAACATGCCTTTAAAATTAAAAACAATTTACACAGTTAGAGAAATATACAGTATCTTACTATTATAATAAATAAAATACTATCTGCACTGAAAGCAACGTATATAAAATTAAAAGAAGCACATTATGACATAAGTGTATTTATAGAATGCTCAAAAAATTAATAATATATGCTTACTGATTTTGTTTCAAAATCAGGAGTTTTGCAGCATAGGCAGAAATCATCGGGCCGGCCCGGTGGCGCACTGCTACAGTGCGCCACTTGGGAAGCACGGCGGCGCTCCCAC